AAGCCTACATTACAAAGATGGACGCCGCCGTCGAACATCACTCGCTCGAATCAGCTGTCGCGTCTGTTTTTAAGCGATTTGAACGTTTCCTTTTTGTTAAAAACCGAGCAAAGAACAACACTCGGAGATGTTTCTCCGCCGTTCTGCATTCGTCATCTCCTTCATCGCTCTGATTGGTTTTAAGTCTATCTGATTGGTTTTAGGTCAAGATATCTGGAAGAATATTTTAATCAAACAGATCTCATTCCCCATTGATTTCCATAGTAGGAAAAAATACATACTATGGTAGTCAATGGGGAATGAGATCTGTTTGATTTAAACATTCTTCCAAATATCTTCATTTGTGTTCAGCAAAACAAAACAACATGAGGGTGAGTAAATACTGACAGAATTTTCAGTTTTGGTTGAACTAACCCTTTAAAACAACTTTATAATGTGTTGAGAAAACACACCCACCTGCTGGAACTGCATTGGACGTGTTGAATAACGTGATTTACAACACAATTGCTCAAAGCCTGAGATGGAAAACAGGACTAAAGTAGATTCATTATTGTCTCTCAGTATTAGCCACCCACAAACCACATTCATGACAAATTGTGGATATTTCATTTGATATGCAAATCTATCACCATTCTCCTGTTTGACAACAATGTGAGTCCTGTAAGAGCCAACAGCAAATGAAAGGCATTATGTTCATCACCACATCTGAAAAACATGTTTAGCATGTTTAGAATTGTATCTGCTGTAAATTTGTAAGTGAATGCATGCAATTAATACGATTTAAGTCTTTCAACAAAACATTGTGTTCCTGTACTGTGTATGTGTGAAAACTTTTCTATCACCCTGCCAGATTTCTTCAGATATTCCTGAACTGCAAGTTGTCAGTTGCTCTGTCAGATTACAGGAGTTAGGGTATAATTTCAAAAGGAGAATGGAAGAAATGTTAAAGGCTTCTGAAATAACTTTCTTATCATCCAGGCTGATTTCTTTTTTCTAAAACATGCTTTTCTGACAAGTAGAGAATATGCTCTTTATCCTTCGTTTCGCTAGATGTATTTACAGTAGGAAATGGTCTAACTGAGATATATCTCTTGGAATTGCACTTTCTCTATATTAAAAGGGTTTTTGCATAGGACTTTTCATGAATTCATAGCACTTAAAGACTGCAAAGATGTAAGCTATGTATGAATGTACATCATTAGCAATAGACCATCTACCAATTAGAATCAGAGGTGGTTGCCATGAGAGCTCTCACCTTTAGGAGAACTATACCACTTTGTGTGTGTGTGTGTGTGTATTTATATAGTGGGGGTTTGAAAAAAACTTATAGAGCAGTTGTTAAAAAATGCTTGCCTTTTCTAATTTAAAACATTACCAATGTTATTGTCAGGGTAATTTCACATAAAATATATTAAGTGGCAAGTAAATATGAATTTCTGAATGTATCAGTATGTGGTTTTCCCCTATTTGTTGTTTAATGACAGCAGCACTCAGATTATAGATAGATAGATAGATAGATAGATAGATAGATAGATAGATAGATAGATAGATAGATAGATAGATAGATAGATAGATAGATAGAAATAATTGTATTACTCCATACTTTTTATTCATTATATTTAAAGAAATCTTTTATATCCCATCCATTACCTTTTCACATACAGTAGAAGAATATGTGTTTGTGCCCAAAATGGATATATCACGGGGTGAAGATGACTTTGACCTCTGAATATTACTTGCAGAAGTCAGACTGGACTGAATCCAACCACAAGTGTGTGAACGTCACTGCAGAATGTAATGTTTTCATGTTCCTGATAAGACCTGTACATGCATGTTTTTAACCCAATTATGATTAGTAAGCCTACAATGTGTGTGGTCATGTAAAGATGTTAACCCATTTTCCTTAAGCATAAACCCAGATTTTTGCCTTGACATTTCCTTGATTTTGCCTGTTGTGCATGTAAAAATGTTTAGTGATGACCTTTGACCTGCTTGGTGCTTGTCCATCACACAATCTTTATTGTAAGAGCTCTCCAGTGAGATGAATGGGCCCATTTCCAGGACATCCATAGCAATTGCACTCCTGACCTCTACAAACAAGATCAGTCCCAATGCACAAGTTGTGTTTTTAGATTTAATAGTTTGCTTTATTTGTGTGCCAGAATTTTCTTTTAATCAAAGCTCACCTAGATACATTTTCTGTCATGCAATTAAAACCAGTGTCAATGTGACACAACAAGAACTGATCTTAACTGATAAAGAGGACTGTTTTCTATAAAACGGTCAGACACTAGAGCAGGGTTCCCCAAACTGCAGAGTTTAGCTCAAACCCTGATCAAACACACCTACCTGTGAGTTTCTACTGATCCCGTCATGGTTATGAGTGTTAGAACTGAATACACACGTGTATTTTCTCAGTGTTTGTTAAAAGTGTCTTTGATATATTCTGTGTCATGCAACTAATTAACACCAGCATCAAAGTGACAACCAGGTTTTTAATGTAATTAACCTGAAAGGCAAGCTCTTAAATCCTGCAAGTTGTGCATTGCATGATTCAAGCTAATTTTTCTATGAGAGATCAGCAGACGATTTTGCACCTTAATGGGAGTTTAATTCCTTTAAAATGCATAAATCTGTCAGAATTGGTCTATGATAGGAAAGTGTTTGGATTACAGGAGACAGTAGGGTATTTTATCAGAAATATAAGCGGTAAAGTATATAAGCTCTCAGTTTATCAGCCTTCACAATGCACTGCCTCTTTTATTGGGCATTTTACAATAATTTTGAATGCGGCCGATCAATTGAGATTCTGTAGTCTATACAAAGGGATTTTTTTAAATGTAAATTCAGTTCGGTCATTGCATATCAATACTAGCCTTTCAAAACGAATCTAAAAAGGTTCATATAAAACAGATTGTTCTACTTCCCTCTTTCGAGAGCAATAATTCATCACAAATTCGTATAGTTCTTTTATCGTGGAACATGTATTCATAATGAAACATGGGCATAGTGCTCCACTGCTGTGAGTGCCAGATGATGAGACACGAATGAAGATGTGTGCATAAAATGATCACAGACACTGAAAAAATGTTAATCCCCAGAACAACATCTAAAGATGTGGGGTTATAAATACATAATCTTATTTTTATTTATGTATTGGTTATGAGTAAATGTATCTTATGTTACATAAAGAACTCTTTTCATTTGACATTCTATTAATTCGTGGTCATGCAGAGTAATTGTTTTAAGATTTGTATCGCTATTTTTGTATTTAAAGGGACTTCCAAACTGCTCCATTTTCCCTCTTTTATCTATATACACTCTCAAGGGACCAATTACCACTTATTAATTAAATGCATTGTTGCAAGATAAAAATTCAGATTTATTGATTTAATTAAGCCTTTTATGTTGCAAATGTCATTTTGATGAGTTCGGTTGACATAACAACTTAAGGTTTACTCACACATGCACACGTTTTGACAGACAATAAATATTGTATTTACCTACTTTAGAAACATTCCAGTAAGTACTGCTAATAGGGATTTATTAGTCAAAAGGGAGACAATTACCTTTTAAAGCATCCGCGTAAAAAAAACCCAAACCTGTACATGAGGATGTGGGTAGAAAAAAAAAGAGGTTCTTCGTGCATTCCAGTGAATTATTAATGGGACATATCATAAATTAAACCAGAAGAGCAGACCACAAATGCACAGTATCATTTTTCTCTCTTGCAGCAGAATACAAAAGGGGAAAAAGAAATGATAAGGAAGAAAAGAATGTAGCCACTGAAATCAGTTCTCACTATATTCTTGTTATTCCACGTCACATTAAAATACCAAGCATTACAATATTCTCTTCACTCTCAGAAAAAAAGTACAAAAGCTGTCACTAGGGCTGTACCTTTTCAAAAGATAACCCTTTGTCCATTTTAGGTGCTAATAAGGACATTTTAGGTGTTAATATGTACATTTTAGTTGCTAATATACATTTAAGGTGTTAATATGCACAATGTATGTGCTAATAAGTACATTTTAGGTGCTAGTATGTACATTTTAGGTGCTAATATGTACATTTTAGGTGTTTATATGTACATTTTAGTTGCTAATATGCATTTAAGGTGTTAATATGTACATTTTAGGTGCTAATATCTACATTTTAAGTGTTCATGTGTACATTTCAGGAGCTAAAATGTCCATTTTAGGTCCTAATATGTAAATTTTAGGTGCTAATATGTACATTTTAAGTGTTCATGTGTACATTTCAGGAGCTAAAATGTCCATTTTAGGAGCTAATATGTCAATTTTAGGAGCTAATATGTACATTTTAGGTGCTAATATGTACAGTACCACTAAGGTAGTAATATGCAGCCTTTGGGTACAAAAGTGTACCTTTTGAAAAGGTACAGCCCCAGTGACGGCTTTTGTACCTTTTTTTCTGAGAGTGTTGCAGTCTGAACATGAAGGAAATTGTCCAGCTCATTCAGTCAAATTGACGGATACGGGTTAGTTGTTGTACAACCGTATGATTTGAAATGATTTGTTCAGTCTTTTTGAGTGGAACTCCTCGAACCGGAAGTGCCTCACATATTCTAAAACGCAGCGTTATAGGAAAAAGGGTATAAATGCTTTGTTCTGATTGGTTGGCAAACATTTTAAGGTGTTGTTTTTTTTTCAGTTAATGACCAGCTGATGATTTATTTTCTTATTAAAAAAATGAGGCAGTATTTTTTTCCATTGTGATTAACAATGAATGCATCAGAGGGTTATTATGGAAAACCAGTAGTGTTCACACTCACTCATTTCTCCATAAACAACATGCAATTGAGAAGTAGTCAACTTAGTGATCTAATGAGAGAGAGAGAGAGAGAGGGGGAGAGAGCACACAGGAGGAGAGCGCTACAATGATCTGAAGGCAGAGCTGGAGAAGAAAGACAGCGAGAGGGGAAAGAACAGAGAGCGAGAGAGAGAGAGAGCAGGGGGGAGAGAATGAGAGAGAGAGAGCACGGGAACGTCAGAGTTGGACGAGAGAGTTGTTCCTTGTCTTTGCACCCTGTGCTCGGAGCAGATGGCATGGCAAAGTGAAGCGCTCTCGTAGTGTGTGTTCTTCAGCTGCTGTAAGGTAACGGAGCATCAATGTGTGGATAAAGCTTGCTTTGTGTGTTTGCCATTCTTCCTCTCTTATTTTGCACAGTTTTTACTTGCTGCATGCATGCTGTGTGTGGATGTGTATTCTTGTGTGTGTGTGTGCACATGCATACATAACAGTGAGAAACAGTCGTCTGACAGTATTAAATAACCATTAAATCTTATATTACTTCTGCTGGTTGTGTGATGCATGACATGTCCATGAGATATATAGATTCAGTTGTGTTTGAATTTAGAGAAAGAGGGCTGTTTTCAATATTTGAATCACTTATTTGCCTTCAGTAGTTCTTGCTGTGTGACAAATGGATCTTTTAAAGTTCAGTTATTCCATATAATTTGAGCTCATAAAAGCTGCATGCATAGTAATAAAACCCCTTTACTACTGTGCATAAGTAGATTTAGATGGAGTACAACATTTACACAGTATAACTTGTCAACTTCCCATTGGTATTTCAGTTTCAAAAGCTTGAAACTTGATCGGCATTGTGTAGCATAATAGTAGACAACTAATAAAATGCATTTAACCAGAAGTGCTTAGTAACTAGTGCAAATGATCAAGACATGGTATGTAATTCACACACCAATATTTGTTTAGAATAGACCTATAAAATAATAAATCAGAGATTGTTGCAATGGATGAGTAAATTACTAAATAGACAAAAAGTGGTGTTATAAATTGATGTTGTTTTATTTCCATGTCTTTGAGCATCCGAATATTTGACAGCTGAGCAAGATTCAGTATTTACAGAGCCGTATTTAATCATTTTAATTCATTCACTCTTAAAACTAAAGATTCTTCAGTGGTTCTGCCTCTACAGTATATCAGACCCCCAAATCACATTCACTTACAGCATGCATAATACTGTGACATTTTGTAGTATATATAGAGTATATAGTGTATATATAGTGTTTTTACAAAAAAAACAACAACTAATATCCAGATTATGAACTTAGTTAGCATTAGGGGCCATTCACAACGAACGCACTTTCATTCCACTGCACTACTTTCCCATTGGTTTTCAGCACAGACACTCACTAGATGGACGTCTTTAACCTCTGCACTCACGTCTTATGCAGCATCTGACGCTTCGTTCCAAATTCGCAGCACTTAGACCTTGACAAAAATATGTTCTGTGTGAATGGCCCCTTAGACACTTCATGTACTCAGCTGTCAAAGCTTTTCTTCTGAAGTGGAAGGGACTATCAGACTCCAATGTGAATGTCAAAATAACCTTATACCAAATGTACTCTAGATGTTAGAGAACTTAGAGCATTTCTTAGTGCATAGTGTATAGTGCGTCATTTGGTACACAGCTATATGTTCAAGCCCGGGGACGATTATGATATTAGGGAGTAAAAAAAACACATATCGATATATAGGCCAATATTATTTTTGTATATATTATAATACAGCAGCAATATTATTTATGTGCATATTATAGTACAGTACCAGTAAAAAGTTTGGACACACTTTCCCATTCGTGTGTATAAACGTTTGACTGATACTGTAGAATACAGTATACATACTGTGTATATATATATATATGTATATATAAACATATTTTTTTGTGGTGATCCAACACTTGTGTGACCAAGATATGTAATGGAGGCAGGGTGAATGATACATTTGAACTGTAACCAAACTAGTTTGAATTGCATGCTATTCTATATTATATTCTAAATACTGTTGAAATCTTCACTAATGGCTTTGTCTTTTAGTCATGTTATATAAAAAAATAACTTCATAAAATAAATATATCATACAAAATAATATCAATAAACATATTGAAAGGGTCACTTGCAAAACCCTGTTATCTTCTATTATTAGTCCAAATTCCTCTAGTCTCTACCAGTGGAGGAAGTGGGCTACTCGGATCTTTTTATTAAAGTAAAAGTAATAATACCATACCATGACAACATGTTACATATGTACAGTACTTTTACTTTAATACTATTTTAAATAGGCACAAGTAAGTGGTCAGCTGATACTACTTATTATGCAAAATGGCCCTATATAAAGTGGTATAATTATACAATAATACATAAATTATTGGAATATTGCTTTATGTTGCAACATAGCGTTATATGCAGAATGGACTCTTATGGGGTTCTTGAGTTGGCTTTTTTTAAATCAAATTCCATATCAATTCCATTTTTGGATTCTATTTTAATAATCTAAAAGAATTTGACAGCCCTACTTTTTGATTATTTAGTTGATTAATTCCTGGGTCCGAGTTGGTTTGCGTGTATTGTTAAGAATCGATTGGATCGGATGTTGTTTGCTTGTAATGGTTTTAAAGGAAGGAAATACACAATATGAAGTATGTGTGAGACATTTGTAGTATTGAATGCATCTATCTCTTATACTCCATGTGTAATGAGCACTGATAGTGGTAATAGATGGAGGACGGGAGAGATATAGAGAGGACAATCTATCAGGGTTAAGTCTTTTGCTGCGGAGACAGGCTTAGAGTTATCGTCATTCACTTTTCACCCCAGAGAAACACAACTCAACTCTGATGAACACCGCTTCTATGTAAATAAACTCTGGAAAGTGATCTGAGCTCAGGGCACAATGAAATTTATAAATGAATGACTTTTTGTCGTCTAAAAAAAAAGGTCAGCAGAAATGCCTTCAGATACAAAAACGTATCCACCAATTCAACAGATGAGGACAGAAGTATTAAATGCAGGTTATTCCCCATGGGCAGAACAAGCTGTGATTCTGAAACGCATTATGATTTTCGTTCAGTTACATCAGAAACACACACTGGCAGTGTGCCTGAGGAGACGGAAGATGATGAGATATTCTACCTCAAACTGAACTAAACACCTCAGATTGATTGTACATCTTTGGGATATTTTTTTTCAGCTTAGGATGTGGAATGTCGTGTCAGACATGAGTAATTATTAAGAAATAATCCACCCTCAATAATCGCCAACATTATAATCATGGAAAGAATGTGGGTGGGCACTTTAGTGACATTTTTCTAAAGCCACTTGATACTGAAAACACTGCAAAAAAATCTTCAAAGTTGTAAATTAAACAAAGATTATTGAGTAAATACTCTTTAATTCCCTCTATTCAAATTCTTTTGTGGTCTTTGACGTTTTTGCAGGGGTTCTAAAATAAGAGAGCTTGATGACATCATCCATAAAGGAAAATGGTATCCGAAGCAAAGAAAGTTGTTGCCATATGAAGAAAGAAAAATAGGTTACACTTTATTTCAATAGTCCACTTTAGACATTATGATATGACATTATGAACTACTTGTCAACCAACTCTCCTTATTCTGCAACTACTTGTCAACTAACTCTCATTAATCTGCAACTACTTGTCAACCAACTCTCCTTATTCTGCAACTACTTGTCAACTAACTCTCATTAATCTGCAACTACTTGTCAACTAACTCTCCTTATTCTGCAACTACTTGTCAACTAGCTCTCATTAATCTGCAACTACTTGTCAACTAACTCTCATTAATCTGCAACTACTTGTCAACTAGCTCTCATTAATCTGCAACTACTTGTCAACTAACTCTCATTAATCTGCAACTACTTGTCAACCAACTCTCATTAATCTGCAACTACTTGTCAACCAACTCTCATTAATCTGCAACTACTTGTCAACTAACTCTCATTAATCTGCAACTACTTGTCAACTAACTCTCCTTATTCTGCAACTACTTGTCAACTAACTCTCATTAATCTGCAACTACTTGTCAACTAACTCTCATTAATCTGCAACTACTTGTCAACAAACTCTCATTAATCTGCAACTACTTGTCAACTAACTCTCATTAATCTGCAACTACTTGTCTACTAACTCTCATTAATCTGCAACTACTTGTCAACTAACTCTCCTTATTCTGCAACTACTTGTCAACTAACTCTCATTAATCTGTAACTACTTGTCAACTAACTCTCCTTATTCTGCAACTACTTGTCAACTAACTCTCATTAATCTGCAACTACTTGTCAACTGACTCTCATTAATCTGCAACTACTTGTCAACTAACTCTCCTTATTCTGCAACTACTTGTCAACTGACTCTCATTAATCTGCAACTACTTGTCAACTAACTCTCCTTATTCTGCAACTACTTGTCAACTAACTCTCATTAATGTGCAACTACTTGTCAACTAACTCTCATTAATCTGCAACTACTTGTCAACTAACTCTCATTAATCTACAACTACTTGTCAACTAACTCTCCTTATTCTGCAACTACTTGTCAACTAACTCTCATTAATCTGCAACTACTTGTCAACTAACTCTCATTAATCTGCAACTACTTGTCACCTAACTCTCATTAATCTGCAACTACTTGTCAAACTAACTCTCATTAATCTGCAACTACTTGTCAACTAACTCTCCTTATTCTGCAACTACTTGTCAACTAACTCTCATTAATCTGCAACTACTTGTCTACTAACTCTCCTTATTCTGCAACTACTTGTCAACTGACTCTCATTAATCTGCAACTACTTGTCAACTAACTCTCCTTATTCTGCAACTACTTGTCAACTAACTCTCATTAATCTGCAACTACTTGTCTACCAACTCTCCTTATTCTGCAACTACTTGTCAACTAACTCTCATTAATCTGCAACTACTTGTCTACTAACTCTCCTTATTCTGCAACTACTTGTCAACTGACTCTCATTAATCTGCAACTACTTGTCAACTAACTCTCCTTATTCTGCAACTACTTGTCTACTAACTCTCATTAATCTGCAACTACTTGTCAACTAACTCTCCTTATTCTGCAACTACTTGTCAACTAACTCTCATTAATCTGCAACTACTTGTCAACTAACTCTCATTAATCTGCAACTACTTGTCAACTAACTCTCCTTATTCTGCAACTACTTGTCAAACTAACTCTCATTAATCTGCAACTACTTATCAACCTACTCTCATTAATGAACGAAGTAAATATACATTAATGAGCACATATATTTTTGAAAGAAC